GTAAAGGTGCATGGGAGTTGTTCAATAATGAAAAAACTTTACTACTGAGACTATTTCCTGTAAGACCAAAGGGAAATGAAGGTATTCCTTGCAAAAAATTATTGATGGATAGATTCTGAGTGCTTTGTAAGCTGAAGGTGCAGAACCATAATGAAAGACTTGGGACAACAAGCAGGCATCAGAAAGAAATCCTAAAACCAAGAGTTATAATTAAGGATATGAGATAATGAACCAAATGGTATACGGATGTATGCTTTCACACTACACTCATAAAACCCGAAATGTTTGGCCTTCTTGTATTGACATCTAGAGAGTTATTGAAGAAGGAAAGTATATTATTTTCTATCCTATAATATTTCCAGTGGGACCCTTATCTTTGTTTGCCATGTAGACAAATAAAAATATGACAACTATAGTGCATCCCCCTTTGCTTTATTTTAATTTGATTTTTAAATCCATCTTTGTTCTTTTCTAAAATAAATTCAAACTAAATGAAAATGAGAGGAAAATGTAAGAATGAGAGTCAGTGTGAAGAGCAGAGAGATTCTAATCTTCTACTGGTTATTCAAGGATGAAGCAGTGGCAAAAATGAAAGGGTTGCATAAGTGTCCATTGACAGATAAATGGATAAAGAAGATGTGGTACGTATATACAACGGAATACTACTCAGCCGTAAAAAGAATGAAATAATGCCATTTGCAGCAACATGGATGGACTTGGAGATCATCATACTAAGTGAAGTAAGTCAGACAGAAAAAAAGAAATATCATATGAGATCACTTATTTGTGGAATCTAAAAAAGGACATAAATGAACTTATTTACAAAACAGAAACAGACTCACAGACGTAGAAAACAATCCTACCAAAGGGGAGAGGTGGGGGAGGGATACATTAGGAGTTTGTGATTAACAGATACACACTATTATATATAAAATAGACAAACAACAAGGTCCTACTCTATAGCACAGGGAACTATATTCAAAAATTTATAATAACCTGTAATGGAAAAGAATCCGAAAAAAGAATAATTTGTATATCTGAATCACTGATGTGTATCACTTTGCTGTACGTCAGAAACGAACACAACATTGTAAATTAACTATACTTCAGTTTAAAAAATGAACAGATTGCATGAAACATGGCAGTGAATGGTGCCTAGAGGAGCTGAGCGATAAAGAAGTCACCATCCAGGACTTCCCTAAGGAATGTGGGATGCCTACAACTTTTAGCATCCTTATGGAGAGATCTATGCTAACAGTGTGTTCTATGGGGGGGCCTTGGCCAGGTGGTATCAGTGTGACATCTGGAGCAGCTGGAGACTAAGATCAGCCACGTGGGGGGCCAGTTATGTGCATTGACTGACCCGCAATAAAGTCTCTGGACAGCAGTGAGTGGGTGAGTGTCCCCAGCTGGCAATACTCCTTGAGTGTTGTCACATGTCACTGCTATGACACATAATCACTGTTGGCCTAACTTCCCTGGGACAGGACGACTGGGATCCCCATGCCTGGTGTCTCCTGACCTGTCCTACACACTGTTTCCTCTGCTGATTATAATCTGTATGCCTTAACTGTAATACACTGTAACTGTGAGTATAACAGCTTTGCCTAGTTCCTTCAACCTGAGGGTTATCGTGGGGACCTCCCAAACTCGCAGATGTTCTCACGGGAGGATGTGCAAGGATTCTGCTCCATTTACTCCAGCAGCTGGTCCTGTTGTTTCATTACCCCTACATTGTGGCAATACAGCTGTCCAAAGGAGCAAGAGAGGAGAGCAAGAATTGCAGCAAAGGATAGATAAGAGAAGCAAGGACCGCTCCAGGATCAGAAGTTAACTTATAGGTAATCTTACAAATATTTTCTCATGTTATTGTATATACAATGTTTTAAAACATCAGTAGAAGGACTTCCCTGGTGGCACAGTGGTTAAGAATCTGCCTGCCAATGCAGGGGACATGGATTCCAGCCCTGGTCTGGGAAGATTTCACATACTGTGGAGCAACTAAGCCTGTGCTCCACAACTACTGAGCCTGTGCTCTAGAGCTTGCGAGCCACAACTACTGAGCCCGCGTGCCACAACTACTGAGCCTGAGAGCCACAACTACTGAAGCCCATGAGCCTAGAGCCCATGCTCCACAACAAGAGAAGTCACCACAATGAGAAGCCCGTGCACTGCAACGAAGACTAGCCCCCGCTCGCCGCAACTAGAGAAAGCCCACGCGCAGCAATGAAGACCCAATGCAGCCAAAAATAAACTAATTAATTACTTTTAAAATATCAGTAGAAATCAAAGCTATAAAGTGCAGTCTGAAGCAGTGAGTCATCCCACAGCCCACCGGTTCTCCCTGGGCTAGCGAGGATAAGAGTGATTGCTCTGGGTGTTCACTCAGCATTACACTAGATATTTTGTGCAACACAATCAGCAGTGGGGCACTAACCAATTCTCTTGGTGATTTGCAAGTTCATTTTCCTGCAGCCCGCCTGGACCGGGTGAAATGAGCATTCAACAAATCTGAGAAGCAGGGAAACACTCAGACCATACACCCTAGGGGGGGTGCTGTTTTGGATTTGATAGCGTTCATGTGTTTATGGTTTGCTTCCATTTTAATATAAAATATAGCTCATTATTGAATATTTAAATTTAAAAATCCTTCCTTCATCATCACAGGAGAGGGTAACATGAAGGACAAGAGGATGGGGCACTTGGTCAACGTGGGTTTGGGTGTGTGTTTGAAAATCATTTGAAGGAAGAAACTTTCATCACAGCCATCAGCCTGGATCCAAAGTGGCATTGAAGGTCAACAGATCCATTTGACTCTTTGGAGCATAATGCCAAGCTGGGTGACACACAGACACAGATGACATTACTTTGTTTAGACTTTGAAAGGGCACTTCCCGTGATATAGGAGATGAAAAGTCGTCTTAAAATGCTGTCTCCTGGTATTGCTGAAATCAAACAGGTGCATTGAAAGGTTGTTAAAAGAAAGATACAAAGCACCTTGATTTGTAGTCAGTCTAAGGCACTCTCTTCTGTGGCATTTGTTAATTTTTTATATGTTCATTGATCACATATCTATCATTTTGGTCCTTTTCTCCATGGGGATAATAGTATCAGCTCTCCACACTGAACCCAGGAAGGAGCTCATTGAACAGAGAAGAGACAGAGTATGTTGCTTATTCTTCCAGCTCCCAACTGTGCCCGCTTCTCACTGGCAGCACCTAACAAAGCAGTTGTTCTTCAGAAGCCAAAGGGTTGTGTGCACACACATGCAGCTACCCTCCACCCATCCTGCCTAAGGAGGATGGGTGCCGGGTCCCCTCCTGCACTGGGAATGCAAACCTGCCATGGAGAGCGACCACCTGTGCAGGAGGGGAAAGGACTCCTGTCTGTTCTAGCAGGTACCCGAGCAAGCTACCACGTGCACCACGAAGAGGGTGGGGCAGTCTTTGTGCCTCTAACGTACAATATGTGACATGCTTTTTCAGCCAGTGGAGAACTTCCAGAGCCTTCAAAAAACGTTGCAGTAGCCTGGGGGATTATAGGAGAAATTTGGAATAATTTGTATCGGGTTACGTTTTCCTTAGGACAGGAGATGGCAAACTATGACCCAGATACGAAACACAGTCACCCTGACTCGTTTATCAATCACCTTCTGATTTCACTACAGTGGCAGAGCTGAGTGATTGTGACACAGACAGCACGGCTGCAAAGCCTAAACTATTTACTATCTGGTCTTTTATAGAGAAAGTTTGCTGATCCCTGTAAGTAGACATGTATACAACATGAAGGTTTATATTATGAAAGTTTTAAAAAAGACGCAATTACTGTGTATAACATCGCGTAATAGGTTTAAGTGGTATTGAGATGAAAGTCAGATACAGATATTTATGAGATATATATACATATACGTGTGTGTATATATATATATTATGTATATATAAATGTATTTCCATTAAGTTAAAAAAAAGGTAGTCTAGACGTCAGTATCAGGAAGCAAAACAAAGAAATCAGATATTTGGAATTAATTTTCATAAAGTTATTGGGAATATGAGATATTAATTTTCAAACTGGAAGGGAATTTAAACATAAATTATATAAATATAAATATTTAATGTTATATAAAAATATTCAAGGCCTGGAACAAAATTTTCTGATTGCTTAAAATTTATTAGCTTTAGGTTTTTACAGTAAAAATAGCGTCTGTGACTTGAACACATGTTCAGTTTTCTTCCTCTCTCCTTTTCTCTCTGTCTCAACCTCTCTCTCTTCCTCCTACCCACTCCAATTTAATACAGCACTTCTCTGATGATTTCGCACAGTCTCTCTCTAACAGGAACTTAAGAATTTGAATCTATTAACAGTGCATACATTATTTATTAACTTGCACCAGGAGTAATTTTGCAACTGGCAAGCTTCAGAAAGCTGCAGAAAATTATCATGCCACCACCATCATTGTCTGCATTACTTCTCAGCAGTCCATGACAGAGAAAAACATTAGAAAAGGGCCTTCTCTTCTGTCAGTTGAATATGGAAAGTAGAACAAATTGCTTGTTTCATTCACAATTTCCCCTCTGTCCATGCAGCAGCAACTTGTGCATTAGCATGAAGGCTTAAAAGTACATAAACATTCATCTCAAAATGCTCTGGAGGCTCCCGGGAATTATTATTATCCATCAGTTTGGGGGAAATAAACGGTGTCCTAAGACACAAAGGATATTTTTGTGAAATTTGGCAGGTGGTCTGCAGTGCCGAGTCACCAAACCCATCGTCAGGGTACAGTTCCTTCTGCCCGTGGTATGATTACAAACGGAAGGAAGTCACATCACTGTACAATTGCATTACTTGTTTGACGTGCCTGGTACTATCTGTAGGGAACAGTCAGCAAGGCAACATTTGGGACTTTATTTACAACAGATGACAGCTATCTGAAACAAGCTATGCATCAGATAAATTGAGTGTGTGTGTGTGATAGGTGAGGATTGATATGGTGTGTGACGAGCATGGCTGGGCTGGACGATGGCCGTGTAGAAGATGCAGGAACACAAATAGAATTGAGTAGTGGTTATGAAGAGGACACAGTACGTCTCTAGCTAAGGAACGCAATCATAGAGGCAGAAAAAGAAAGCATATGAATTGAGATACAATATTTTCTCTCCCCCAGGATAAAGATACGGTTCAAATTTTCCATTTAATCATCAATTCTCAGTATGTCACTTATTGTATTAAAGTGGCCAGGGACACATTTGACATAATTTGACTGACGTGTTTTGGGACCTTTCTTTGACTAGCTTTGGTACAAGAACAGTGAAATATTTTTTTCATCTCACTATTTTGTTTTTATTTTGGGTTTAAAAAGAAGCCAATATAGCACAAATGCTAAATACATATTTACAGCCTTGGGAAACAGACAATAGTGGGAAATGAATCCTACTTTTAAGGAGACAGTTTAAAATTTTAGTCTTCCAAGTATAATTTAGGTTTGACGTTATGTGAAAATGCCTTCACGATTCACAGGGTTTTTAGAAGCTGGTTACCTTAGTGATTTTATTTCTCTCTCTGAAACTGTCTGACAGTAGAAATGTACTTGGTTACACCTGCTGGCCGTTGCTAGTTTTAAATTACAGGAAATTGAAAGCAAGTTGCTTCTAGGACATTGAATTTAGGATTTCTTTCTTATTTTGGCAAACGATGTGTGACTAGTAGTGTAGGTGATACCATTGTAAAGTGTTTGTCTTAATATTTAGGGAAGCCTCACATTAAAATGAGCACTCTTACAGATAGTTACAAAACTTAGATGTAGACATAGATGTACCTATACCTACGCACATGCAAACATACACTCAGCTTTAGAAAATAATGAACATGTACTATGAATCCAGAGATTAAATTGCAATTGAATAAAACTAGATTTACATTTTGACACAGGAAGCCAAAAAGGTGCAATAAGCACAGATTAAATTTCCTCAGTTAAGTTAGTCTATTGAATGGTCAAATTTTCATCAAACCTTGGGAATTCCCTGGTGGTACAGTGGTTAGGGCTTCATGCTTCCACTGTAGGGGGCCCGGGTTAGATCCCTGGTGGGGGGACTAAGATCCTGCAAGCCGAGTGGTGGGGTAACACAAACAAACAAACAAAAAAGAACCATCAGACCAGACCAATGTAATGAGTCACTACTCTACGAGCTTTGAAAGGTTCGTAGAAGACGCTCCTGAACCAGGGTGTTATGGCTTGAGTATTCCTGTCCCTTCCAAATCCCTGTGTTGAAATCCTACTGCTCAATGTGATGGGATTAAGAGATGGAGCTGTTGGGAGGTGATGGGTCATGAGGGTGGGGCCTCATGAATGGGATAGTGCCCTTTTCAAAGATACCCCTCCGAGCTCACTTGGCCCTTCCACCACGTGAGGACACAGCAGGAAGTTGCGACCTCTGAACTGGGAAGCCCTGATCCTGCACCTCCAGTTTCCAGAACTCAGAAACATTTGTTGTGGATAAGCCACCCAGTCGGTGGTGTTTTAGCAGCCTGAACGGACTAAGACATGAAGGATGTCGAAGTGTGACTGTCTTTTTTTTTTTTTTAACATCTTTTTTGGAGTATAATTGCCTTACAATGGTGTCTTAATGTCTGCTTTATAACAAAGTGAATCAGTTATACATATACATATATCCCCATATCTCTTCCCTCTTGCATCTCCCTCCCTCGCACCCTCCCTATCCCACCCCTCTAGGTGGTCACAAAGCACCGAGCTGATCTCCCTGTGCTATGTGGCTGCTTCCCACTAGCTATCGATTTTACTTTTGGTAGTGTATATATGTCCATGCCACTCTCTCACTTTGCCCCAGCTAACCCTTCCCCCTCCCCCATCCTCAAGTCCATTCTCTAGTAGGTCTGCGTCTTTATTCCCGTCTTGCCGCTAGGTTCTTCATGACCATTTCTTTTTTTTTTTTTTTTTAGATTCCATATATGTGTGTTAGCATACGGTATTTGTGTTTCTCTTTCTGACTTACTTCACTCTGTATGACAGACGCTAGGTCCATCCACCTCACTACAAATAGCTCAATTTCGTTTCTTTTTATGGCTGAGTAGTATTCCATTGTATATATGTGCCACATCTTCTTTATCCATTCGTCTGTTGATGGACACTTAGGTTGCTTCCATGTCCTGGCTATTGTAAATAGAGATGCAATGAATATTGTGGTACATGACTCTTTTTAAATTATGATTTTCTCAGGGTATATGCCCAGTAGTGGGATTGCTGTCGTATGGTAGTTCTATTTTTAGTTTTTTAAGGAACCTCCATACTGTTCTCCATAGTGGCTGCATCAATTTACATTCCCACCAACAGTGCAAGAGGGTTCCCTTTTCTCCACACCCTCTCCAGCATTTGTTGTCTATACATTTTCTGATGATGCCAATTCTAACTGGTGTGAGGTGATACCACATTGTAGTTTTGATTTGCATTTCTCTAATAATTAGTGATGCTGAGCAGCTTTTCATATGCTTCTTGGCCATCTGTATATCTTCTTTGGAGAAATGTCTATTTGGGTCTTCTGCCCATTTTTGGATTGGGTTGTTTGTTTTTTTAATACTGAGCTGATGAGCCATTTATATATTTTGGAGATTAATCCTTTGTCAATTGATTCATTTGCAAATATTTTCTCCCATTCTGAGGGTTGTCCTTTTGTCTTGTTTATGGTTTCCTTTGCTGTGCAAAAGCTTTGAAGTTTCATTAGGTCCCATTTGTTTATTTTTGTTTTTATTTCCATTACTCTAGGAGGTGGATCAAAAAAGATGTTGCCGTGATTTATGTCAAAAAGTGTTCTTCCTATGTTTTCCTCTAAGAGTTTTACAGTGTCCGGTCTTAGATTTAGGTCTCTAATGCATTTTGAGTTTCTGTTTGTGTATGGTGTTAGGGAGTGTTCTAATTACATTCCTTTACATGTAGCTATACAGTTTTCCCAGCAGCACTTATTGAAGAAGCTGTATTTCTCCACTGTATATTCTTGCCTCCTTTATCAAAGATAAGGTGATCATATGTGCATGGGTTTATCTCTGGGATTTCTATCCTGTTCCATTGATCTATATATCTGTTTTTGTGCCAGTTCTATACTGTCTTGATTACTGTAGCTTTGTAGTATAGTCTGAAGTCAGGGATCCTGATTCCTCCAGCTCTGTTTTTCTTTCTCAAGATTGTTTTGCCTATTCAGGGTCTTTTGTGCTTCCATACAAATTGTGAGATTTTTTGTTCTAGTTCTGTGAAAAATGTCAGTCGTAGTTTGATAAGGATTGCATTGAATCTGTAGATTGCTTTGGGTAGTATAGTCATTTTCACAATGTTGATTCTTCCAATCCAAGAACATGGTATATCTCTCCATCTATTTGTAACATCTTTAATTTCTTTCATCAGTGTCTTACAATTTTCTGCATACAGGTCTTTTGTCTCCTAGGTAGGTTTATTCCTAGATATTTTATTCTTTTTGTTGCAATGGTAAATGGGAGTATTTTCTTACTTTCACTTTCAGATTTTTCATCATTAGTGTATAGGCATGCAACAGATTTCTGTGCATTAATTTTGTATCCTGCTACTTTACCAGATTCATTGATTAGCTCTAGTAGTTTTCTGGTAGCATCTTTAGGATTCTCTATGTATAGTATCATGTCATCTGCAAACAGTGACAGTTTACTTCTTCTTTTCCCATTTGGATTCCTTTTATTTCTTTTTCTTCTCTGATTGCTGTAGCTAAAACTTCCAAAACGATGTTGAATAATAGTGGTGAGAGTGGGCAACCTTGTCTTGTTCCTGATCTTAGTGGAAATGGTTTCAGTTTTTCACCATTGAGGACGATGTTGGCTGTGGGTTTGTCAGATACAGACTTTATTATTTTGAGGTAAGTTCCCTCTGTGCCTACTTTCTAAAGAGTTTTTAAATGGGTGTTGAATTTTGTCAGAAGCTTTCTCTGCATCTATTGAGATGATCATATGGTTTTTCTCCTTCAGTTTGTTAATATGGTATATCACATTGATTGATTTGCGTATATTGAAGAACCTTGCATTCCTGGGATAAACCCCATTTGATCATAGTGTATGATCCTTTTAATGTGTTGCTGGATTCTGCTTGCTAGTATATCGTTGAGGATTTTTGCATCTATGTTCATTAGTGATGTTGGCCTGTAGTTTTCTTTCTTTGTGATATCTTTTTCTGGTTTTAGTATCAGGGTGATTGTGGCCTCGTAGAATGAATTTGGGAGTGTTCCTCTCTCTGCTATATTTTGGAAGAGTTTAAGAAGGACAGGTGTTAGCTCTTCTCTAAATGTTTGATAGAATTCGCCTGTGAAGCCATCTGGTCCTGGGCTTTTTTTGTTGGAAGATTTTTAATCACAGTTTCAATTTCAGTGCTTGTGATTGGTCTGTTCATATTTTCTATTTCTTCCTGGTTCAGTCTTGGAAGGTTGTACATTTCTAAGAATGTGTCCATTTCTTCCAGGTTGTCCATTTTATTGGCATATAGTTGCTTTTAGTAATCTCTCATGATTCTTTGTATTTCTGCAGTGTCAGTTGTTACTTCTCCTTTTTCATTTCTAATTCTATTGATTTGAGTCTTCTCCCTTTTTTTCTTGATGTGTCTGGCTAAAGGTTTATCAATTTTGTTTATCTTCTCAAAGAACCTGTTTTTAGTTTTATTGATCTTTGCTATAGTTTCCTTCATTTCTTTTTCATTTATTTTTGATCTGATCTTTATGACTTCTTTCCTCCTGCTACCTTTGGGGTTTTCTTGTTTTTCGTTCTCTAATTGCTTTAGGTGTAAGATTAGGTTGTTTATTTGAGACGTTTCTTGTTTCTTAAGTTAGGATTGCATTGCTATAAACTTCCCTCTTAGAACTGCTTTTGCTGCATCCCATAGGTTTCGGGTTGTCGTGTTTTCATTGTCATTTGTTTCTAGGTATTGTTTGATTTCCTCTTTGATTTTTTCAGTGATCCCTTGGTTATTAAGTAGTGTATTGTTTAGCCTCTATGTTTTTGTATTTTTTACAGATATTTTTCTGTAATTGATATCTAGTCTCATAGCGTTGTGGTCGGA